CTCCATTCTTCTCTGGCCAAGCTGACTTTTTGGTCATTTGTTTTCTTGGGCCTGATCTTTGTCTTCTTCTTCAGATCACCTTCTTCATCATCCCCAGAATCTCTCACCGCAGATCCCTCGAGGAGGTCCCTCAGAACCAGCTCCTATGGTGGCCCTGATTGGGAGAAAAGGATCAAAGCCTCAGCTAAAGTCAGGTCAAGAAATGGTATGTCTGTTTTGGTTACCGGGGCTGCTGGTTTTGTTGGAACCCATGTTTCTGCTGCCTTAAAACGCCGCGGGGACGGCGTTTTGGGGCTTGATAATTTCAATGATTACTATGATCAGTCATTGAAAAGAGCCCGGCAAGCGCTTTTGGAGCGCTCTGGGGTGTACATTGTGGAGGGTGATATCAATGACGTCGCCCTCCTGAAGAAGCTTTTTGATATTGTACAATTTACCCATGTTATGCATTTGGCTGCTCAGGCTGGCGTCAGATATGCCATGGAAAATCCTAGCTCATATGTGCATAGTAATATTGCTGGGCTTGTTAGCGTTCTCGAGGTTTGCAAAAGCGTGAATCCTCAGCCTGCGATTGTTTGGGCATCGTCTAGTTCTGTTTATGGATTGAATACTAAGGTCCCGTTTTCAGAAAAGGATAGGACCGATAACCCCGCAAGTTTGTATGCTGCAACTAAAAAGGCTGGCGAGGAGATTGCACACACTTATAATCACATTTACGGGCTTCATTAACAGGGTTGAGGTTCTTCACAGTTTATGGACCCTGGGGGAGGCCAGATATGGCATATTTCTTTTTTACGAAGGATATTTTGAAGGGGAAGGCAATTCAGATTTTTGAGGCAGCTAATCATGGCACAGTTGCTAGAGATTTTACCTATATTGATGATATTGTGAAGGGTTGTTTGGCAGCATTGGATACGGCAGAGAAGAGTACTGGCAGTGGTGGGAAGAAGAAAGGGCCAGCTCAGTTGAGGGTGTACAATTTGGGGAATACTTCACCTGTGCCAGTTTGGATCTTGTTAGCATTTTGGAGAGGTTGTTGAAGGTGAAGGCTAAGAGAACTATAATGAAGTTGCCAAGGAATGGGGATGTGCAGTTTACGCATGCGAACATAAGCTTGGCTCAGAGGGAGCTTGGGTATAAGCCTACAACAGATCTACAAACAGGTTTGAAGAAGTTTGTTAGATGGTATCTCAGCTACTATGGTAATGGCAAAAAGAGTTCCCAGTGATATATTCTTTCATTTGTGTGGTTAGGATCAGTTGATTCTTCTTCATTTTGATTCTTATGATTGTTTTTTAACATATCTGTGTTCATTGCCCCATAATCTTGTTCGCATATATCTCATGGTGCCTTCTAAGGAGGCAATTTCAATCCCACGATGAAGGTGTTTTTAAGGTTGGTGGTCAATGGACAATTATTTGCTGGGCATCCTGATCAGTTCAAAAGAAACCTGAAAACAACCTTTTGCCAGTCCTGGGGATGTAATTTGTTGTAGCTTCATTATTGTAGAATTCGTAACATATAGCAATTTGCCGATTGGTGGACATGTATCATCTTTATGGAACTCAAATAAAATAGCACACAATAATTTGGCTATTATTCTTTTTTACTTAAGCAGTTTGATATTATGTTACTTATTGATGCATTTGCTCGAGACTTTGAGGTTAACTGTGATGCCTATTTCACATCTATATTCAATCAATGATCAAAATGCTGTTTTTTTTTAATTTATAATTTTGACCTGCTAGAGTTTTCTGGTTTGATTTTATCACTACGAATGATCCAATTTTCCTACTGCTGCCATATTTGTTTTTCCATATTCTGATCGTTGGAATCAGTAAGCAAGTTACCGTCTTGCTAGTTCTGTTAGTCCAAGAGCAACCAGATTGTGCCTGGGATGAGCTTTTAGGCATTAATAGATCTTATAGCAATCACAATCTCTAGAACGCATTTAAGGAAACAGGAAAGTTTGTTGGCTGAACTAAATTTAGAAGTTAATCTGGAGTCTATCAATTTTGCATTTTTTTGAGCTGGACTAGCAACGTAGAAGTTTAAAGCTTTAATGAGAAGTAATCAAATGATTGATGCCTGCAATTTGAATTTTTAGGCAGTACTGTGGTTCACACATCAGTCAGCCACCTGCATTGAAATGTCAGGGATTCTGTGAAACTTTTTTTTCCTTTTATTCCCCTTCCCTGTGGCGCTAACAAAATATCCCAAATAAAGAAAACTAACTCTGATCCTTTTACACCTTAACATTGCTATGGCCCTCTTCTGAAAGAGGTGCAGCTTTGTGTAGAACATCAACCTGGCTAACTTTATTACTGTTATAATTTCATTTTTAAAACTAATACCTTTTAAACTTTATTTGAATTATGGGTGCAATTATAAAGGAAATATGAAAATTTCAGAGCTTTCATTTTGTTAAAGATGGACGACTATCTTGATTGTTAAAGCATTGAAGCTTTGAGAACTTTCATATGCTTAACAAGTTTATTTTATTGGGAGATCTGTTTAATTCCCTATCTTGTCCGCTTTAAACAGTATTTTGATGCAATGTGCTCTAAAGGAACAGTGATGAAGTTTACATCTTAAGTTCAATTTCACATATATTCTTTTTTAGTTTGTGAAGATTATAAAGCTGAAGTGCTTGCGTTATAGATGAAGTTAATTGAAAATTGACTTTATGAGGTGGTAAAATACTGATTTATTCATCAAAGGGTGTTGATTGTGCGGCTAAATATGGGGTTTTTGATACATATACCAAAGATGGATGACCTATTGCTTCTTTTGTTTCTTTTATTCTATTTGGTAGCATCTTCAAATGTTGATTGAGAACTGGAAGCTCACTGACGGAATAACCATGAAGGGGACGGTTGTGCTTGTTATGCTTTCTTTTATTTTCTTCTTAATCATCTAATTAGACTCTTCTACACTTTCCTTGCAGCTGAGATTTGGGAATGTAGTGGAGTACAAGTCCTATTGTGACTATCTCGTTTTTACTTTTCTGTCTGCATTTAAGATGATCAAGTGGCTGCCATACTTTTCTTTTTAATTTGTTGAAGTTAAAATTTATTTTCCTTATGAGGTTACAAAATGGTGTTATTCCCCGACAAAAGGGGTACTCTAGCTCTTCATTGCCTTGTATCTTTACTCTGAGTTCTTGCTGCACTGTATCTAGAGTTTGCAAAATTAGAAATACAGAAAAACGAAACAGAGAAGAGGAATGCCCTTGCCTGCTTTTCACGAACTTACAATACCCATGGACTTGGTCTAGCATGCACTGATCAAAGTGACATAAGTTATTTTATTTTGGGTTGCTACATAATATTAGATTTATTACCCACTTGCAACTTTATTGAGATTTTTTTGATGTACAAGTGAAGTTCTGGTGTCTTTACTAGCTCCATTGTTTTTTTCTTTGGAGGCGGTAAATTACATTTGCTTGATCTGGCGGTTCAGCAGTTGAACTGAAGTTTCTGCTTTCATGTAGTTGGCGTAACAGAACTGCGTGAAATATCATCTCATTGTCTGATTATATTTGTGTTAGCTTTCTAGTTGCAGTAGTAGTATTATCTAACCACTTACAATGCTCCTCCAGACCATGATATGTTGTCTGGATAGCGTTAAATTTTATTTGCTTGCATCATTAATGCATTTCTCAATCACCTTTTTGAAAACTCATGCAATCAGCTGGATGGAATCATATGTAGATTCAAAACTCATATGTACTGATGCCACGGATAAGTCCTGCTTCACACCTGACCTTCTGGTGTCCAAGCCTCTAACAGGTGCTGCAAAGCCTAATTGTTGCAGTAACCTTGCGGTGCTGAGTGTAGGTTTTTGTTGGATGGGAGCAGAAGATGTGATGGGCACTTATCCTGACCGTTCACAACGTAACCTGTAAACCAACATTGAAGTTACTCTCGAAAGTAGAAAATTTTTTGTTGATTAGTTAGATTGAATTCTGCATCAACCAGCGAATTTTGGAATATCTCTCACTGACCAATAATAGGTTGGAACTCTATTTTCATGGGACATTATTACCTTGTGTGTCGGTTACCTATAGGCATTGCCCAGCAATGAAGATGGTGATAGGGCGGGGGTTGGGTTAGCAGCCGTTGAGAAAAGACAAAAACTACAACATCTTGATCTTAGTCGTCCCTCCCTTTTCCGGTTTTCTGACCGTTGAAAGTTTATTTCCGTTTTGTATTGATTTGCGGCGACGACTTGGTAGTTGGTAGTACTACTACTATTACTACTTTTGTACATAAACGTTAAGGCCTTGTGTGGTCTCAGATTTTGGGGAGGGAAATAAAATTATAATTGTCTTTTAGTAGTATATTGAAGGTTAATTGAACGAATGAGGTGTTTTGAGTTGCAATTCAATCGATCAGGCTGGTTCAACTCTAGTTCGATGAATTTTTTAAAAAAATAAATTATATATATATATATATATATATATATATATATATATATATATATATATATATGCACAGAATGAGACATTCAATAAACTAATTTAAGACTTTATCCAATAAAACAGTTTAATATTTTCAAACAACTTAAAATTTCACAAATAAATTTTTCAAATTCAAACAAATAAATTTCATTTCAATTGTATCTATCAAAAAAATAATCTTAAATACACCCAAAAACGCTACAATACTTTGAAATTAAATGAAATTCATGTAATGAGAATTAGATATTGTGGTTTAAATTTTAAACCATGTCTTTAAAAATTAAAGATTACAGCTTTGTTAAATAATAATAATAATAAAAAGAAACTTGGAATCTAAAGGAAATTAGAAAACTAGAAAGTAGACATACAAATTTGATAATAGACAAAAGGTGTAAAGAAAGTGAGCCGTGTAACACCTAATGATTAGTCTCCTTTTCCGTTCAGTTTAACGAATGAGAACAGATAAACCATTGATTCAATGATTCATTCTGATTTTGATTTGATCGGCATAGTTCTCAAGTTCAATCTATCCAACATATGAACCGAATCAAAATCTTGACCGATTTGTAATTCAATCTATCCAAAATATGAAACCGAACCAAAATCATGACCGATTTTTAGTCCAATCGGTCGTTGGTCCAACCCAGGTTTCTAAACAATCTGCCATTATATTGACGTAGACCATTTAGGTGGGTCTACATCTTGAACTACTTCCCACCTCCAACGATAGGCTACTCAAAAGTACAAGGAAAAAATACAAGAAAGATGGCGCTTATGTGAAAGAACATGGAAAAAGTCCGTATAGTGTACATTTGCATGTCGCGTGGCTCGTAACAATCATGTAAAATCTGCAGAAATGTAGAAAAACTGTCAGCTCAAACGCAAGCCCAAACTCTAAAATGCAATTCTCGTATTGCTTTTGCAAGAGCTTTGGGGCTTGGTAGAACATTCAAGGTTTTAACTGCAGAAAACTCAGCACTCACAATGGAATCTATTCCGCATTTGTTCGGTACACGATTTGATTTCCATGCTCAAGAGAGTAGGAAAGACGAAAAAGATCACCAGCCAACCGACGACACCAAACAATGAACTGAAGGCCAAAGGATGGCTTTTTCCTTTGTGCCAAGTTAAAGTGCAGGCTTCTAGAATGCCAAATCTCCACTGGCATGAACACTTTCCTCTTTCTCCACAAATGAATGAATCAAATCCTTAACAGACATAAACACTGCCTGAAAACTGTAAAAAGCAAAATTTAAAAATCATACTTTGTCCTCCCACTCTTCAGAATGAGGCACAACATATCTGAGATGTCAGAATTAGATGATGAGAAAAAGTCCCAAGCTTCAAGCATAAGTCTTTTCCTTGATCCCTTGAAATGAACCACCTGCATCCAGGAACAAAGGTACACACCAGCGTTACACACATGTGCCCTCAAAAGACCATCGGATCATGATGGGTGCACGAATTCAGTTCACAAGAAATAAAAATTGGCTTGAGCTCCTCACAGAGATCATTGCAAAGCGTAAACTGATAGCTAAACTATACCTTAACATCCAAGGGCATCCCATGAAATTGCCCAGCACCCTCTGGTGGTGTCCAGTTATAGATAGCACATGGTAAAAATAACACTGAGGTACCATCAATGTCATGTAGAAAGGGTTGTTTTTTGGTAAACATTCTTGCATCAAAGGAATGCTGAGATTTTACGACCCAAGCAAGAGCTAGTTGATCTCCAAGCATTCTGGAAGCTCTCATGTACTTCGAGATATAGACTTTGAGTACCTCCTCCAAGAAAGCCTTGGCCCTGCACATAAAGGAGTCTGAAATGTTAAAGAAAAGGGAAGGATCAAGAAAGAAAAATTTTCTAAGAGGAAACTCATGATCTGACACAGACAAAAGTAAATAGACTACATAATATGACAACAGGTTTTGCTCAAATAACCAGGAGTAGTTTAGGAATCAAGGAAACAGAAACCCCATTTGAAGAGTTTAGACATTTTGGTCATTGTACGAGTATAACCATCCAACTTGCATGGTCTATGACAACAGGTTTTGCATGATCTATTTAACCAATAGCATGTTATTTAAAAACCAATGCACCTTTTCATTCCATCAATAGTGCCTCTAACTGCAATAAATCCTGAATTTAGCGGTTGCTCCTTGTTGTTCCGAAAGGTGAGAGCCAGATGGAAATTCGGATAGTCACGAAAGAATTGTCCCAGGTCACCAATGACTGCTATATCTGAGTCAGTAAAAATATAATGATTGATTTGTCCCTTCCCCAGTGAGTATTCTTCAAGCCTTGTCTCTAGAAAGACCTGTCAACAGAGAGAGAAGTGCAATGAACATCAATATGCAATTTATAAGTACTTAAGTTTTCTGCAGCTGAATGCAAAGTATGCTTTACACAGAAAAACATAGATACGAAACTTCATAATTGGTCTAAGTTATTCTGAAAAGCAAACAATTGAGTTACATTACATGGTCACAAATAAAAAGTGTAAATATCACTGATGATGCAGGAAAATAACGACCACTTTGTAGAACCTTTAGTCAATAGTGTATACATTAGTATTTGATGTTCACCTAAAAAGCTGCTTACTAACAGGTTGTACTGATCCTAAGAGACTTTAATAGGTTATTCTCTCACACATATACACAGACAAGCAAGAAATTGCAGGGCAAGCGCCCCCCCCCCCAACACAAACAACACAAACAACACATGCAGATTGAAAAGCAGATATGTCAATCACTAAAAGGACCACGATGTCTTAGAAAAAATCAGGATACGAAAAAAACACACACAAGGACAAGCTAGGGTAACACAAATTAATAAAAAATTCTAGCTATTCCACTTGATGCATTTTGCTCTTACAATGTAAGATCTGATTCTTTGAAGCATCAACCTGTCTCGTGAATATTCACCTTGAATGGGATGTATGGTAACCCTGTTTCTGTGCACTGGAAGCTCAGAAGATGGATCAGTAAGAATGATGACTTTGCTGTGGGACATGGTTGCCTGCACAGTTTGTTGCACACGTGTTTAAAACTTGATACATGCAAAAAAAAAAAAAAAAGGAAGAAAAAAAAGAAATCACTGCACAAACACCTTGTGACTTGTGTGTAAGTAGACATCATAAGCATCTTCAACACTTATAGCAGAACAGAAGATGCATGCAAAACTATTACCCCTCCATTAAAAACAACCTAGTTCACATCTTAAGAGTGATCAAACAAACTTTTTTAATGCAAAAAATATTCCTTTTTTCACTATATGTTTTGCATCAAAAAGGTAGCGACTCCAATTCTCCACCTTGTCCAAATTAAAATAAATTTAATATGAAGAATCTCATTTCGTTATTACTTTTATCAGCACATTTTTAAAGTCTACCATAGTTTCTGTAAAATAGAGGGACTATAGTGTATTTGTAACAAAATTGTCACATCAATGGTGGCTGAAAACAAAATCAAGATATTGCCAAACAGATCAGAGACGCTTCTTCTTCTGCTTTTCACTGATGTATGTTTGGTTGAACCATCTAAATAGACGTGGAAAAAATAATCATATACAGGAAAAATTGACAGCATTAACCATCTAGAGCCCATGGCACTTAGTAAAGGTACTAAGACATTTGAGAGTGAAGGCCAATCCAACACTCATGGCTCTTATTACTTGGATATACATATTTTACCCCAAGAATCCCCTCTGATGTAAAATATGTCTAAAAATCAGGTGATGCATGCATGTGCAACACCCGATAGATAATCAACCCTATAAAAAACCTTAGAATGGCGCCATTATTTGAAGATTACTTGTAACATCATTGTCCCCTATGTTGATAACTGTTGCTATCAAAAGGCAGATATTTACCTGAATGAAATCAATGAACACATTCAAAATGGCCAGTGATCTGTTCACCTTGTTGTATGATTTGTTCCCCACAGTTACTAAGTCAATTATTTTCCTATCTATTTGCACATCTAGACTAGAATTGTAAGTTGTGAACACTGTGACAAAGGATATCTGGTCCCCATTGATGGAATTCTCAGAGAAGGTAGAAAACTGTGTCCTATTAAGAGCTCTGGTGCCTGCACAACAAAAGTTCTAGAATATGAGCAAAGTCAGCCATCCAAGCCCTACGCATACACTGTAAAGAGGTTTTAGCAATTCACTACTCGTCATAGTTTTGCAACCAAATCCTGATGCACAAACACGCTTCTTGCACAAAGTATTTCTGATACAAGCAAACTAAATAATCTACATACACATAAGAACCAACAATAAAAACAAAATAGACATGGAAATCAGAATCTAAGCAAAATAGAAAAAGCAGAAGGTGGGATGCAACTCTATCTCAAGAAATGAAGCAAATAAAACCTTCGCACTGCAGGCGATCAGGCAAACCAACCCCCGCAGCAGCTCCAAGAACCAAATGATCGAATTTCTTGGGCTTGTCTCGGTGCAAATTTTGTGCAGATAAGTCCTCCTGCAACTTCAATACTGAATAAATACACATCCTCATCCCATAAGTCTTACTCATAAAAACTTGAAGCATATTTAAAACTTATAGTAGCAATTAACCTATTATTATCATGGAAGAAATAAAGTATCACCTGATAGTATATGAGGCAAGAAAAATATCATAGGCACAGATAGAAGGAATATCCGCCATCTACTGCAAGCTCTCATATTTGCAAACATCAAATTCTATCAAAAAAACCAGTTCGATGCACTCCTCAAAGTACAAGAAGAAGCCGAATCTAGCCTTCTATCGTCTGCAAAATTACATAATAGTTTCTGAGTCGGATGAGTTGAACAAAAAGGTAGTCTTTACAAAGCAATGAGAAATAAAAACTTTGCAAACTAATAAAACTAGGTTTTTAATTCTTTTCCCAATTCTTAACTGCAAACACACACGCACAAAAAAAACCCCCAAATTTTGAGCTATGAGCGTTATCCATGCAAATATTTATTTTTTCTTTAATCATCAATACTAAAAAGATGCCAATAATTTTAATCCTATCCCACAAGTACAGAAGCCGATTTGTTAAATAACAAAAACTAGCAACTGGCTTTTCTTCTCACACTCCTTAAACTTCATTCCTTCTTCTTTTTCAGCTCCTTCGTCCTCTTTCTTTCTTCTTCTAGCTGTGTCATGAGCACCAGTATTTCAACAAGACATCCAAAAATCAAAACAATGCAGAGTTTACAGGAATTCAAACATATTTGAAGTATGCAATCTTGAAGATTTTGCAGGTAATATCTAAAATTTCATTTTGCAGGGAAGTTGAAGTAAAGAGATTACTGAAAACGGATTAAAAAAGTCTACCTTGATGCGATTTTTGGCCAGCGATAATCCAACAATAGTTAGATAGCCTCTCTCTGAATCTGGGATTCTGAAGTGTTTTTCAACTATAAACAGATGAAAGACCGCAGAAAGAATCAGAGAGAACAACTGTATCACCATTCACCAATTAGCCAGGCTCAATCAGCTCATCAAGCTAAGAGCAAGAATACAAAAGGGCCGATGCTCAACATACCCGAAACAGGCCCAAGAGAAGCTGCCCAATTCTATTGCGTTGGCCCATACAAACATACCAAAGGGTTAATATTTCTCATTTATTTTGGTAAATTATTTTCTGGAAAGATTATATATATACTATTTTTCCAGCCCTGACGCCATGCGTCAGGTAGCTGAGACTCATTATTTTGCTGTTATGTTTGTGTTTTTTTTTTTATCTTTGTTAGATATAGTAGCCATATGTGTGAGTGTGTGTTTTTTCCTAATTGCACAAATAAAATGAGTTTGAAATCAGATTATCTTACATTCTTAATATAGCATTAATCAGTAAGTAATGCCTAAAATTAGGCGGAACTAAAAGGCATGATTATTTAACATTCTTAATGTAGCATTAATCAGTAAGTAATGCCTAAAATTAGGTAGAACTAAAAGGCATATAGCTATACATGTAATGTGTCGCATTGCTTATTAGTCACGTTACTTCTCTAAGACAAGCAATTTGACAATTTCCAATTTTTTTGACAATTTCTGTTTGCTAGTACTTCACATTTAACAATCTTTTAGAAGAAAGAAATAAAGAACGACAATTATAAAATGGGTTTGTCATTTTCTTTTGTTTGCTATACTTGAATGAGCATTCAAACATATTTAAAAATATTTCAAACCAATGTAAAATTGAATTAATCTTTTTTGTATATTCAGTGGCTTTTTTGTTATACATTAATAGGTCTATATTCATGACACGTAATTCTTATTCAACTCTAGCCCACCATGACCTCGGTTTATATATAGTTATATACTACCATTTCTCCCAATCAGGATTTCATATTGGATCCTATTCTTTTTGTTATCAATTCAAATGATTGTTTGATTGATAGATTAAAAGTGTTCAAGAATGGAGGGAGCAACAATGGTTTCTTTGGATAGGACATCATCTATTGAAAATGAGCCTCGGACTCTCAATATTGAACAACTTTAACTTGCAAGGGTGAATATACATATTTTCTTATTTTTCTATCTTTCTTCCCTTTTTTAGGCTGTCTTTCTCTCTTTTTTTTTTTTTTTTTTTTGAGATTTTGATGATTTTGGTTTTGATAATTTGTATGAGAGGCAACACTTTATGTGGTGAGTACGAGGAGCATGGAAGAAGCTCTTTGAATTTTCACTAAGATATTGGCTTAGATATATACAATATCTAATAATTTCTTGAGCTTAAAATTTTTCTGTTCTACTTTCTAGGTTCTTTGGATTTATAATTCTTACCTATTTGATGATTCTTTCTCTTACTTGGTTGTTGATTTATAATTCTTACCTATTTATAATTCTTCCTCTCTTAAGAACACAAAATAACCTATAAATTTGCAGCTTAAACAATAATGTTCGTGAACTCACAACTGTCAAACAATAATGTTCATGAACGTCTTAAGCAATAAAACATGCATGCTGAATAACAGATTCTAGCATAAACAGAGAAAATAAGTCCATCAAAGATTATATGTATAAACTGAAATACCATAACAAATAACATATGCACCATAATACAAGTGCAGCAAAAAAATTAGATATGCCTCAAGAATCAATAGTCTAAAGCAGCATTAATGAGTACAACTATTAAGCTCCTACACTTCATTAATCAAGTCATCTAAGGCTTTTGTATAATTATAATAACTTATCCACTGAGCCCAATGAACTAATCCCACTGCTCACTGACCAAGGGTCAATATAAGACAAAAACAGATCCAATGGCCTTTAAGAAAAGCAAAGCTAAAATAGCGCCAGGCTTGTTCTTCACTTTGCGCATTTTGTGCTTTTCCTGTACTTCATCATGGTCACTTACTTCAGCAATGAAAAGTGCTAGACTTGCTTGTAGCTTTGAATTGGACATAAGCATGCAGTTCATTTGGTTTTGAGTACTATGTCTTTACAGTTGTTCAGGACAATTATTCAGACTCCTTGCAGAAAACATCATAATTCTGCTAGGGGCAACCAACAAAAGAAATCTAAATTGTGGATTCAAGCTACTAAATAGTTGCTTTTCATCCAAAGGAAGGACAATAAACACCACACAACATTCTAAGCAAATCTAGGTGAGCAGCACATTTTTCCCTCACTACACAACACATAGTTCCAAAATTATCTTCCTCTGCATATTTTCCAGTGAGCAAGACTCCTGCAATGAGTTGTATAGCCAACCTGACAACCCTGTCATTTGCATACATCCTAAACTTCTCAATTTGTGTGTATATGTAACAAGGTTTAAGTAGTTCAAATCCAATACTGGTAACTTCAATACAAATAGTTCCCATTCACAACAAAAATCTTGCCAAATTTGTTTCCCCTTTTTCTTGCAACCAACTTCATGATACAGAAATTTGTTGAAGAAAAACCACTCTTACAAGCTTAATAACACTTTCCAAACCAAATTAACCCTACATTGCTTCAAAAATCACCAAAGTGCTAATAATCATCCTCCAAACAAAAAAATCGACTCTCATATTCTCCATCTCACAGTGAAGAACTAATACACAAACTAAATCAACAACAAAATCAGTAAACTTGGTACTAATCAATCACAAAAAGAATACCACGGGAAAAATTATTGAAAAGGGCGCATAAATTTGAGCAGCTTCTGTTAAGGGGCATCTCTACCGACTTTTCTACAAAAAGTAAATATATTTGTGTGCATTTAGAATTACATTCAATCAATAGCCCAAATTTGTGGCCCATTCATCATTGGAGCTTCAAGAACACACCCTTTTCACTAATTTTCCCACAAAAAAAGAAAGAACAATCAACGGAATTAAGTACATCCTACTGCAGAAAAGGATAAAAGATCAGTAATAACGAAGACTGGGTGGATAGACTTATTGAATTCACCTGAAAACTGAGGCTAAAAGGGTTCTTAAACCCACGTTTGGGGAGGCGGCGGCGAAGAGGGATTTTGCCACCTTCAAATCCAAACTTAATAGTCCCTCTGGCCTTTTGACCTTTGTGACCCCTCCCTGCAGCTTTCCCTTTGCCCGACCCGATGCCACGGCCTTTCCGGGTCTTCTGCTTTCTGGAGCTCCTGTTGTCGCTCAGATCATTCAAGGCCAAAAGGCTGCTGCTGCTACTATAGCCCCTATTCTGGTTAGAATGAGAACAAGAACAGGAATAATAGCTCCAATGCTTAAGCTGGTACGGCCAGGTTGAGTACACAGGCGTTGTTTTGGGGCAGTTTGGGAGATGGGTTTGTTGATTTTCGTCCAACCATTCCAGATTCTAGAGGCTGAAACCAGTGAAGCAAAAATTGCTGACTGCCAAAATTGTCAGCAGAAATTGCTGACTGCCAAAATCGTCCGCGTGAAATTCCAGCAGAACCATTGCCACCGAATGCCAAAAGACCGAAACGCCCCTCAAAGTCACAACAATCACAGTATAACCGGCCCATTGTCCTCTGTTCATAAGCAATTCATGCTTTATATATGTAAAAAAAAATAAGATATATATATATATATATATATATATTAGTATAAATGAAGAAAATTTGAACTCAAGATCTCTTAATCATACTCTCCTTTCTTAAAAATATAATACATTTATTTCAATATTTATCTCAAAAAGAATGCATGAAGACTAGAATTAGACAAAGGTTTCATTTGAAATTGCAGTGACTTATAACGTATAAAAAAAAGTACTTCTAACACAAGTATTTTAATAAAAGGTGTTTTTGTGTTATTGAAAATTGGACTTTTTAAATTATAAAAAATTAATTTTTAAACACTCTAAAAGTACTTTTTTGTAGGCGCACTGCGACCCTAAACGGAGCTCTCATTGGGCTTGGATCGTTTTGATATCAAACTCTTAATAGAAAATTCATGTATGCTGTGTTTTCGCGAAGGTAGAAGCTACAAATGCACACATTAGCCTATTGACAAGGAATACAATTGTTTTCTTTAAATAAGTGTTTGAAAAGAAGTAAATTTTTAATTTTAAATGTCAAAGAATTAAAACCGTTATGAATGCAAGTGATAGATTAATTAGTGGATGCTTAAAGAAAATGGTTAATTATAGTTTGTCCTCTTGAACTTGATCCTTTATAATACTTTGCCCCCTTAAGCTTTAAATATATACATTTTACCACTTTCATTAACTCGTCAAACATTAATGATAAATTTTCCATTCAAAATTTTAATAAAATGATATTAATGTCCTTACAATTATTATGCGCGTTTAAAAATTAGTTGGAAGCTAATTTGGTCATGAAAAAGATAACTTTATTTTAACACGATCAAAAAATTGACCACAAGAGATAAAATGCACATATTTGGAGTTTAGGGAATAAAGTGTTACAAGTGCCCAAGTTCAGGGGAGCAAAGTGTAATTAACCCTAAAAGAAAATAATATACTTACTTTCAATGAAAACTCCCAAAGCCATTGCACCGTCCTTTTTTTTTTTTTTTTTTTTTTGGGCCAACTTAATTAATGCCCACATTTAAGTGCTGGCCTTCTTTCCTTTTTTTTTAGTACGTAAAATGGTTTGATCTTGAAAACGAACCCCGTCTAAAGCTTCAAATACAGGATCTTTTACAGAGATTACTCCTCCGCCTTCCATTGCAATTTAAGCTAAAAACCCTCTCGTTACTCGAGAGGGGGAAAAAAGGGTAAAAGAGAGAACCAAAGCTCCAAAGGAGCTCTATTTCAAGCTAAACAGTAGCCATTGCTGTAACAAAAAAATACCTAGCCAGCATCAAATTATACATGTTAATATACAACGTACAAAGATCAAAAGGAAATGGGTTTCCTGTCTGGCCATGATTCAATCTTCTGAAAATATTTCGCTGGTACAACACCTTCAAAACCCTCAGTCAAGATCACCTTGTTGTCTGAGATATAAAGCTTCATTCCCTCTGAAACACGTTAGAAGTAACAATCATCGCATATTGTTGTAAGAAAACTAGAAAGTAGTAACATATTCTTGCTTGCTTCCCAAAGTGAACAAGACTCACCTTCCAAAGCTTTTCTCACATCAAGAAAGATCAGGATATTTACACCTCGTCTCATACCTGTCAAAGTGATCTTATATCAATCTGGAATGTACATGGCAAAACTATCTTGAAATCTTCCAAATTTGATCTTAACTACAAATTGACTCAAAAAGCATTTCATATCCAGCCCGCTAACAAATAAGTTTTGTCAGCTCTAGGATAATATCTCTGTACTTCACTAGGCATAAAGAAGCATATAATTTATGAGAAGCATATTTCTTACTGCATTTAGAACTAAACGTAACCAGCAGCAGCAGTTGAGAGCATTCACTTTTTGGAAATTCATTATTGACCAAAGCAATTTGAGCTTCTGAAAGGAATCAGTGTGATTCGATGTAATTAGATAATAGTACATTGAAAATAGCCCTCATTTCTGTTGGATTCTTTTTGAGGTGAATTCCCTTCTTGTCCATGGTTTACCAAAATAAAAATAAAAAGAATAATTCACTGATGACAAAATTACTCATGTTACAAGAATAACAACACAATGCCATGCTTTAATCAATTAATCTAATAACTTACCACTTATTACTTCACCATCTGTTGGCAAACCACATGAAAAGGGACATGCACTCTTCATGCGTTTCAGCCCTTGTTCCAAAATTGATTCCAAATTTCTCTTGTACGTCCCGTGTACACAGACTAAATATAAACATGTAAAAGAACTTTATAAACACGGTATAAAAAACTATGTGTTGAGAACAAAGTTCTATTGGTCTAGTGCGCTCACCTGGAACTTCATCAGCAGAAGAATAGGCTTCAACAAGCTTTCAGTTTCAACTGTCTGTAAAGTGCCAATCCACAAGAGAAAAAGATAAAATAAGATCAATGTTATGGCTTAAAAAGGTTAAGTTAAGCGCAGATGTTGCATGAGGCAAACAAATGTTCCAGGAAGATAGTCAGTAAAGAGGTAAATTACCAACAATATACAGCAGAAGAGATCCAGTTATTTAAAGTTGCAATAAAGACCACATCATAACTTCTAGTTGTGATCTAAAATCTAAAATTTTAGAAAGAAATAAAGCAAGAATCTCAATTATAGACACTATAAGAATAGAGTATTTTCATTTTAGTGAGATCAGTTAATTCAAATTAGTTTGCTGAATAGTACTTATTTTGAGTAAAACAAATATTTTGACAAATTCCTCTCTCTTAGCAGAAATGAACTATAATTTCACAGTCGACTTAGGAACTCAATGGTTATACTCTGAATTCCCTAGTACAATCCACATGTATTCCTTCTCGAAAATACAAATTCCACACTTGCTTACAGTTAAGGATACATAGAATGACTTATTTATTTGGATCCAAAAATAGATATAGGTAGTATTTGTCTTCGATACTAGTTATTTGTAAACTTCAAAAGCACCAAAAATCAAGTTACCTAGCAATTACAAATCAGTAAATAACAATAAGCCAGAATGAACTGATCCACATTGATTTGTTAACCTTCCCAGAATGACATAGAAGCAGAAGAAAACTGTGACAGACTAAAGAAAAGATTTTCCAGAATATTAACAAGGGTAAGGCACAGTGGACAAATTTATCCTTTTCAAATTTTCTATCAAAATCTGTTTAGCAAGAATAGAATCTCCATTTTCAGGGTACATTACTGTGATTGTGTGGCCTTGGTTTGCACGTATCCAAAGCTCTCCATTTTCTTCCACCAGGCTAAATCTTTGTTATTGTCTCTCCTGACAGCCTAGAAAATTTAAGAAGATAACAAATAAGTCTAGTACTCAGTGATTTATAGAAAGCAAATGAAGTAGAAATAAACAATCAGTGTGTCCATACAATGTACCAAGCCATCATTAAGATAATAGACAGCAGAATCATGTGCATATTGATGAGTTTCTAGTTATGACATACAACTGAATTGAGATCCAATCTTCTTCCTTTTTCGAAATCGAATTGTCTAATTTAATTTCAACATCCCAATTTACAATATATTTATGATCTAAAGTAAAGTTCAGGTTGTATACTCTCGGACTCATCAACAGTATGTGATCTTAATGGATCATTGGCAACGTTTTCAAACTAAGCTTCACAAGTCGTCAACCTTAACAAATCCATCATTCCTCATGTTCAAGTTTAACTCAGAAGCCATATGCCGCAAAACACGTGTTCTGAAACATTTCAGACAGAAAATGTTTAAGCATAAATCTCAATTCAAACAATTAAAGATGTCAAGACGCATATATGCTTGAATAGCCCTTAGCAGCCATGATCAAAGCTAACCAAACAGAACAACAAAATCCACGCATCACCAAGATTATAACAAAATATACATAAGATAAATCTTCGTAGGATTCACTAACAAAACTGCCCAAAATACGATAATAAGTTATCAGCCATTATCAATACTGAACAAAGCAAGAAAAACAGTCATTTATCATCTTGAAATTAAATAAAGAAAACACAAAAGATCAAATTTTAGTGGTTTTACTCACAGAAGCCTCCAAGTGCATCAATTTTATCTTTCCACCGCCACTTGCCACCGCCACGGCCTCTGTGCCTTTCTCTAGTAGTATCTTTCATACTATCCAAACCTCTTCCTCGACCTCCACTGCCAAGAATCCACAACAAAAATTTAGCAACACAAGAAATACAATGAACACAAATCTTGTGGCAATATCCAGTATTACTACAATTCAAAGGTAGAGAGAAATATTTACCTGCGCGAGGAATGAGAGAAAGTAGTAGATGAAGAGGAAGACGAGAAAAGCTATTGTGATGGGGCTCCATGAAAACTATGAAGTTAAAGCGCGTCAATAGACGAGAGTATGAGGCGGAAGTAGATACCGGCGGCAGAGAAGTAAGGCGGTAGCGCAGAAATCGTATGCTATTGCAAGTAAGAGTAGCCCACATCGATGGATGACCGGGAAGAGCTGCTACTATGGAGGGAAGGAGAAGCAGGAGACTTAGGCTTCGTTTGGGAGTGGAGGATTTGGACAGAAAAGAAAGGGAAAGAAGAGAAAGTTAACTTTTCTTTCATTGTTAGTTTTTAGTAGGAAAGAAAAGAAGGGAAATTGAAGGATTAAAGAGGATGAATAGTAGGCAAAATTTTTCCTCCCAAATTGAAGAGAAATGGAGAGAAAGTTGGAGGAAGCTTATGAAAGTTGGAGAAATGGACAGCCACCGGTCGCCGGCGATTTTTTTATCACAAAACCCCCTCACTCTATTTTTCACATAGAATTCGTTTTGAAGTTAGTTTTTACAAAAAATAACCTGAAAGTGGCCAAAATGCCAAAAACAGCCCAGTTTTTTATTTTTTAAAACACTATAACCACTACAAAAATCATAAAATTTATACCAAAACACTCCTTATGATTTTTACAACATAACTATGAGCTGAAATCAATAAAAAAGCAACAACAATATGACAAAATTAAAATAAAACAGTCCAAAATGAAGAAAAATTATTCACATGCTTCTAAAGTTCAAAACTTCAAAATGTTTGAGCAACCCCACGTTTTCAGGCCTTGCACTAACCATAATAATCTATTTTAACAAAAAAATATGCACAATAATGGTACTTTAATTCGGTTTCCCATTTAAACATTTTTTCAAACACTGGCATGCATGCACAAAAATATTTCCCTTTCCTCAATTTAGCTCAAGCCATTTCCCAAATTTTAACAATACAACAACAACAATGCAAAACAGCAAAAACAGGAGAAAATAAGCAACGAAATATGAATTTAATATGAAAAACAAAATTGAAAAAAAGAAGAAAAAATACCTCTAGAATATTGCAGTCACTTGGTTGAGCTTTGTGCTGAAATTCCTAAACCTCAATGGTCTGACCGCTTGCTCTCCTTTTGTTGATTTCTGGATGGGTGTGTGAACTTAAGAGAGGCAAAAAGGGACCGAGAGTTGGGGTATTGGGTTTGAGTTGTATGTGTTTTTGTTGGATGTTTTCCTTCTCCTTCTTTTGTGTACTGTGTGACAGTTTTTTTTTTTTTTTGACGGTCCAAATTGAGAGAGAGCGAGAGGGATAGAGAGCCGAGAGAGTCCTTTGAGGGGAGTTTTTTCTTCTCCTCTTGTCTTGAGAGGGAGACGCCGAGAGATATTTTTTTTTTTTTTTAACGGTAGAAGTCGGTTAACCTAATCTATTCTAAGTTTCTAACCTACGGGAAGGGAGGCAAGGGTGCCACCTATTAACAATTTGGTGGGAGCAAGGATTTAATTCTAGAGGTGTTGGGGGGAATAAGTTTGGTTCTTGTCAAATGATGGTTTTTACCAAGTGAAGGAAAGGTGCCTGGAAATGGATTGTAAAAATGGTTAGCAGTGGTTTTGGTAGGGAAAATGATTAAAATGTGTAAGTTTTTATATCTTGATTTGATTTTTTTTCAAAATTTTTTTTTTAAATAAATTTACAAAAATGAGAAAAAAAAATATATTAAAATGCAAGAAAATAAATAACTCATCAAATAGAAAATATTCAAGAAAACATAAAATTTTGATAAAATTTGGCAAAAATTTAGTGTCTACACCAACCAAATACATATGAATTGTTTTCATTCAGCCACTTATATGGTTAGAAATTTTGGTAGCCATGTTTGGATAGCACTTTTTGTTACAAAATAATTTTTTGACTTTTTAAAAATTATTTATATAATTATCAATCAACTTTTTGACTCATATATATAACTATAAAAAAATTACATATGAATTGATTTTCATTCAACCATTTATATCGTAGAAATTTTGGCGGCCATGTTTGGATAGCACTTTTTGTTACAAATAATTTTTTTGACTTTTTAAAATAATTTTTATGTAACTATCAATCAACTTTTTGACTCATATATATAACTATAAAAAAATAATAATTTAAAAAAAGAACTCTTCAAAAATTCATTCCAAACAGGTTTGCATTAAATTTTCATTTTTTCCTTTTGACTTTTGGCATGGAGATATGGTTGCAACAAATTTTCTTCCTTTTAAGATTCTTCCCCCTCGTACTAATTGCAATGGTTTAGTTTATATTAGAGGTGGCAAATCAACCCACTTAACTAGATTTATCCATATCCGCCCATGAATAGATGGGTATGGGTAGTTTAAATTTTTGTATATGGGTATAAATGGGTTACCCAATAATATCCATTTAATAAATGGGTATTATTGGGTAACCCATCAAATCCAATTAACCCATTTAAAATTCTCTTCCCCCAAGTCTCTTTCTTTCCCCTACCTTTTTTTTTTCAAATTTTTCATTTTGTCATGATGTTAACATTATTATTATTATTATTATTTATTGGTTTTATCTTATTATTTTATTTTTTCTTAGTTTGTTAACTTACTCATTTTTTAGCATTACCAATTTATGAAAAATTTAGCCTATTTTCTTATCTTTATAAAATGAAATTTTAAATTTATATATGAAAAAATGTTAGGGGTTCAAAATTTTTTGGATTAAGTTTTTATATTAATTTTTATAGTACTTAATTCAAATTTTTATATTCGTATTATTCAATTATTAAATAATAGGTAATTTTGTGACATAGAGTATAAATGAAAAAAATTGGTAATTAAGTTTATTGAACATTATAAGTAAATATTTAAAACTAATGATGGGTATAAAGAGTGGTATAAATTGATAACTTAGTTTGCAAAAATGGATTTAAATGAGTTTGCAAAAAGTTAAAATAAATGAGTTATAAATGGGTAATTGGGTTACCCAATTTATTTTTTGACTTATCCATTTATACCCATTTAATTAAATGGGTATAAATGAGTTGACTCACTTATACCCATTATCTATTTACCCAACCCAAACCTGCCCAAATCACCCATTTTAACACCTCTAGTTCATATTATATCCACAATTTCACTTGATTCATCATCTCTGAGGCTGGAGGAGGCCTCTAGCCAACAGAAGTTAGCAACTGCCTTTTGCATGGCAAAGTGTGTACTCTACTAGCCTCCAAGTACCGGGGGGGGGGGGCCTTAAATCGGTTGTTATGTCAACCACTTGTGTCTGATTTTGTTCAATTTCACAAGATGTATATTTTATTTTTTTAAGGTGTAACTTATTTTGAACACAAAATAAATATATAATAAAATTTTTTAGGTCTCACACACGACATGAAAAATGATGTACATGTAATAATTTGAGTCTATTATATATATTTTGCCAATCATGGCTGGAAACTAGGGCTGCAACTCAATCGAGTAGTTTGACTCGAGCTCGTCGAAGTCAAGTTCGAGCTACTCAATTGAGTCTATGAGTCAAGATTGAATAGAGATGTTGCATACTTGATAGATCATTGAACTCTATCGAGTGCTCGTTATAATATTAATTAATATTATAAAAATACCTAAATTATTCCTTCAGTTGGAAATTGTTTGACAAGCTCGAATACTTGAGCTCGATATTGAACTCGAGTACTAACTTGATCTCCAACGAGTCGAGCTTGAACCTGGGATATATTGCTTCAGGTCGAGCTTGAGCGCAATATAACTAATTCGAGCTCGATAGTGTGTCTGAGCATCGAGCTCTCGAGTTTGAGTATGAGAATATTTGAGTTCAACTTGGTTTGAAATCACCCCTATCGGAACCACCATTTCCCTAGGAAAGCTGGAATGACCAAGCATTTTTCAATGTTAACTACGGTAAGAATCATCTCTCTATGCATCCCTTGTATAAAAAAGTCTCAATCATTCACTACACACAATTATTTGGATCAATAATCTTTTTGGTCCCTTTTCTCATGCATTGCATATTCTACCCTCTCCTGAGTCAATTTCTTGGATAGTCACAACATGTGCTTGCTTCGCTTGGCCATACAACAGTTCGTATACAGTTCGTACACGGATTGTGGAACATACAACAGTTCGTATGTGGGAAGCCAACAACTGGAAAAGTGAACACGATAGGATTTGCCTATTTTCAAACGTTTGCAAGGGCAGAGTAGGTTGTTGCCGCTGTCGAGGGCGAAAAAAAAATTCAAATGCCTGTAAACAAAAAAAAGGGGAAAAAAAGGACAGTAGCAATGATGTAACCATCAGCTGGTGGCCACCACCAAGCCTTTAAGGCTTTGGCGCGAACCTTGCCTTTCACTAATTTGCCGCAGTCGTGGTTCTTAAAAAATTCAGACGGGTGCGTTGTGCACCCGTCTAGTCCAGCAGTGATTCTGTCTCCATTGATCTTTCATCAGGCCCAGTTGGATCTCTTTGTAATAATTAGATTAGGATGAAGTAGATATAGGAGTAGGGACGACGATTGACGAAAAAAAAAAAAAAAAAAAGAAAGAGGACAGTAGCAATGATGTGAACTATAGTTGAGTTCCTCTGAAAAGCTGAACCACAACATGGATTCCTAAATCATCATCTACCTGAGAGATCATTGATACATGACAAGTAACACAAGTAGATCGCAATTCACAAGCAAAAGTCATTTCCCCTTTCCAGCCATATTGTTCTCCAATTCAAAATGTTCAATCATGCTCCACATTAGCAACATCGTCTTTTTTTTTTTTTTTTTTTTTTCCTTCTTGCAGTTTGGTAGTGCTGGTACAACAACACAAGTCCAATTGAACTTCTTTTCTTAATTTGAAATGGCAGCCAAAATTAGCCAAAAAAAGGTGTTGTTGCATGCTTCACGGGATTTAGAAAAGGTGAAGGTTGTAGAGAATGCAGTGCCACACCAGCACGCCTTAACAATAGCATGTTCTTTGCAGGACATTTTTGTTTTACACCACCTCAATCAGTATCCTGGTGATCAACAACATAGCTCATAGAATGTGGGACAAAGAGGGACAAGTGCAAATTATCAGTTATCTCATGAGAGTGGGGTTCTCTACTTTTCTTGTTTAGATTTTACAGCAATCAAGTTTCTATTTTTTTTTAGTATCAGTGGGAGAACTCAAATCCCGGACCTCTCAAGATGCACTCCCTCCTGCGCATATCATCCGTTCATGCAGATGTTGATGAAATTTTTGACTTTATGCGGGTCGACCTCTAAAATCTTATCATCCTAGCTAGTGCTTACCAATGTATATCATGGTGAGTAGACTGTTTGGATCAATGCGATTTTAAGTTCGAAACGTTTTACCTAACAGGATATTACGTATCATTTGATCAAGGCTCGTACATTTTTTTTGTTCTTATTTATTCTCCCTCTTAGATATAGTTGGATTCCCTGTCAATCGTTTTCAATACAATTCATGGATCAGGTCATAATATGGTAGGAATAACTAGTGTCATGGGCAATCTGCATATGCTGTAAGCGACCTCGGCAACAGTGATAAAATTGGGCAACTTCTGACCGGACTAAAATTCCTTCACATGGGCTGAATTGAATAGCTTGAGAACAAGAAAGAGTGGAGCTTTTTCATCATGGAACTTTTCAACGCATTGCTCCTGAAACTGATTGAGACGCTTGTGAATTTAATCCCATCATCTTCTTCCATGATAGGGGCCATTCCTACTTAAATTCTGCTCCCTGCGATAGTGGGCCTTGAGAAAAAAAGGAACAAATGATTGTCGCCTTTGAAAGGAACACCATTTGTTTTGGGTCAATTATGCCAACCTTTGTGTAAATCTCATACTAATTACACAGATCTGTCTTTAACCTTTTCTGCAATTACCTGACCTCCCATCAACTTGTTCTTTTCAGTTTCGGATGTTTCTTTAAAATGTTAACTGCAGGAAGGCGATGGTTTAATGGAATTTTCGTAATATTTACTTCTCTGTGAAGTCCATGCATTTCAGCATTGTGCATTTTCTTTGATTCATTTTGTGTTTTTGCTTTCTCTTTTTCCTTGAGATTTCATTTTTTGACATTTGGAAGTGATCAGGATAAATTTTGAAATGATGTACTGTCTGCAAGTATCCATCCATCTGTTAAATGAACTGGAGGATCTGCTGTCATCACCCTTCACGGGTTAACGACTTCAAGCGTTAGAGAGTCCGAGTAAATAAGTACTGAGCACCATTTATTACCTCAAATTTGTGAATACGCATTTACTGCCGTTTCAACACTTGAAATCCTGCTGCAGATTGATCACAAAGATCCAACATAGAGCAGCCATCGTAATTTTGTACCATGAAAAACATCAGAA